AGGAATAAAAAAAATTTATTTTTTTTCTCTTTCTTAAAAAAAAGACTTCTAAACTGAACAAAAACAAAACTAAAAAAATTCGAAGCTATCTAAAGCTAAAGTCTTGAACTTGAAATCTTGAAGCTTGTTATGAAAAAGCCTTAGAATTTGGATATTAGTGAGATGAACCTAATTCTTACCTTGAGTAAATGAATATGGATAAACAGTTTAACTTTTAATGGAAGGAGCCTCCATATAACACTCAAGTGTGTTTTGCTCCACTTTAGTTACCTCCCTCTCTAGAATTTGTCTCTTTTCTTTTTCAAGACCACACTTGCATTTGCTTTTGAAAATGATTGAGGCATTCATAAAATGAGCTAGATAACAAAAGGCCAACCAATTGATATATTATCCCTTGCTTAACCTCTTTGAGCCTTCATATTTTCTTCTTTTCTTTGATATTAGACTCTCATATTCTAAGAATGCATGTTTCTTTTTAAAGTGCCTTGGCATACCATAACTTCATGAGGTGAATTTCTCATATCTATTATGTCATATATTGTAAAAGGATAATGAATATATCATAAAGGCTCAAGGCAACTTCAAACCAAAAGAGAAAAAGAAAAGAAAGAGAAAAAACAACAAAAGGACAAAAGGAAAAAAAGAAAAAGAAAAAGAAAAATGAAAAGAGAGACATAATGCTTACAAACGAACAACGGAAAAAAAAAGAGAAAAGGAGAAAAAATAATGAAAAAAAAGGGAACAAGAAGGTTGCCTAGCTTACAAAATATCTTGCTACCAAAGTATTTGTTGTAAAGAATTTCACCTCTTGAATTTCAAATATACCTTGCATCTTAAGTTGAATTTTGAAAGGCATGATTATAATGCCTAACCCCTTCACTTTTCACATGCATTCTGAGCTTTTTTTTTCTTATCACCATATTACAACCTTTAAAAAGACCTTATAATTCATTTTGCAAATGCTAAAAGTGGTGGAGATAATAGAAAAGTTACAAGCCTATGGTAGAGTGTACAATTAAGTAGACTTGAGAGAAAAATAAACCCTTAATACTCCGTAAGTTGCATGCATACACTTTACCCTTGTAAAGCTTTTCATTGAAGTGGACTTCTGTAAGGTCTTAAATCATGAGTTTGAAATCCTCTTTCTTTGGCTTTTGACTTAAGAACTAAGAGATGATGGTTTATTGACTTCTAAAGTGGCAGTTTTGAGTTTTGTTTTCTTTCAATTCATTTTTAACAAACACATGAATGAGTGCCATTTTGTAAATATTAGTCACATTTCATTCAATCATATCACACAAAGGTATGCAATTTCACAAAAAATTCCCATATAGAAATATATCTATTATTTACATCTCGTATATAACATGAATATCACCTTAAAGCCCATTTTTGTTGGCCCCTATTAAAGTCCTACTATGCATGCCCCTAAAAGCCTAGTTTTGCTGGCTCCCAATCAAAGCCCTGTGACGCAAGCTTTTCAAAGCCCAGTTCCATTGGCCCCTATCAAAGCCCTGCTATGTAAGCCCCTAAAACCTCAGTTTCATCAGGCCCCTCAAAGCCTAGTTCTGTTGGCCCCTATAGAAGCCCTACTGTTTAGGCCCTTAAAAGCCCAATTTCGCTAGCCCCCATCAGAGCCCTATTATGCAGGCCCCTAAAAGCCTAGTATGCTGGCCCCCCATCAAAGTCCTTGACACAAGCTCCTCAAAGCCCAATTTTGTAGGCCACCATCAAAGCCTAGCTATGCAAGCCCTTAAAAGCCTAGTTCTACTGGCCCCCTACAAAGCCTTGTGATACAGGTCCCTCAAAGCCTAATTCCGTTGGCCCCCTATTAAAGCCTTGTGATACAGGACCCTTAAAGCCTAGTTTCACTAGCCCCCATTGAAACCCTGCTATGCAGGCCCCTCAAAGCTCAGTTCTATTGGCCCCTTATTAAAGCCCTGTGACGCAGGCCCCTAAAAGCATAGTTCTGCTAGCCCCCATCAAAGCCTTGCTATGTAGACCCCTAAAAGCTCAATTATGCTAGCGTCCCATCAAAGCCTTGTGATGCAAGTCCTAAGCTCGGTTCTACCGACCTTTTTTTTTTCTTTTTCTTTTCTTTTCCTTCCCTTCTTTCTATCCTTCCTTTCATTTCCTTCTTCTCATCTCTTTCTCTTCTCCCCTATATATCAAGTAAAGAGGGGCATGGACACTGCATTTTGTCCGATCCTTCTTTAATATTAAGGGCATCTCAATTTCTCTTATCTCTTCATTTGGCCAAACAAAATATATGTTCTTATCTTTACTTGATTCTTAGGCAAGAATTTTAAACATATGTTCACTATCCTTACCTATAAAATAAGTAAAGAGGAACAATTGTGAACATCATATTTTGTCTGAACCCTAATAAATAAATAAGATAATATCCATAATATAATAAAATAATAAGAAATAATAAGAGTGAAAATGAAAAACATTTTATAACAAGAAAATATTAAAAAAAAGGTTTGATACAAAGATAATGAAAAAATATATAATCAAGCTAGATCACAATATAATAATTTGAATAATTAGGATATAATATAATATAATATTATGGTTTGAAGATTCCAAGATAATCTAATATCTAATATTAAGATTTAAAGATTTCAAAATAATATAATAATTAAGATATAATAATAGGAAAGATAGCAATTAATATCCAATTTCTAAATAATAATAATAAATAATAATAATAATAATAATAATAATATAAGAATATATAAAATACTAAGATTGATCATGATAGAATTGAAATATTAAAGAAACCCTAGGTGTACGGGTCTAGATAAAGGAAAGCAAAGGTAAAGCATGAGATAGTTGGAGAGTGACTCAAAGAAACTGAGTGAGAGAGACTGAAGAAAGGAAGAAAAGAGGAGGCAACAGATATCTAAGTTAATTGAAATTCATTGAGGTAAGTCCCCCTTCTTTTAAGCCATAAATATGTTTGTATCCTTTAATAGTTATCTTTATAGAAATATTATCTTATTGACGCTAATTACATCTCATTTTAAATAATCTATATTCATCTCATACTATTGTCTTCATGTGAGGAGCCATGTGCATTAAAGGAAGCTGTCATTTACTCTTGAGAAAATTACTTATTTAGCCCTCAGTTTTAATGTGTAATTATATCATTCATCCTCTCATTTTGTAGTTGATATTTTGTTTGTGCTCCTATGATATGCACATGTATTAATTAAATCTCTTGAAAATTTTTGGTATCATATGTTACTTTAGGCCAATTGAATTTAAGGATAAATTATCAATATGTGCATCTACAAAATATTTTATATTCTTCTAATCGAGTGAGACTTTTAGAATCCTTACAAACTTATATCCTTTGATTGTTTGAGACTTTCAGAGTCCACACAAGCTTTTAAATTAATTAATTTATCTTATATAGTGATAAATTATCACATGTACAAAGTTTTGAAATTATCAGTTGTGAAGCTTTTAAAGTCCTCACAGATTTATAAATCAAATAACTTATCTTACACAGTGATAAATTATTACGAGTACATTTTAAAACATTTTATCCTTAAGTAAAAAAATATTTTCCTAAAAATAAATAAAATAAAATAAAATATGTTTTGAAAGGTGAACGTATGAAGCTTTCTTAAATCTTACTAAAAATATTTTTCACAAAATTATCCCTCAAGATTTAGTCACAAATAAAGAAATAAAATATTTTCATAAATAAAAACTACAAACCAACATTAAAATTATTTTATAAAAAAATTCATAATTAATATTTTTCCTAAAAAATTTCCACCCAAAAGACACATCTTTACTCCGAATTACATGGGCTTTGACCCTCAAAAAGGATAATTTTTTAGGGTTTCATCCTAGGTCAAGCCTAACTTGTAAATAAATAAAATTCTTCCTTTTTAATTTTCTTATTTTTTATCTTTTTTTATTAAGGATAATTAATATATTTTTTAAGGCCACGTAATTTTATATAGTTAACTTAAGGTAATCATTCACATGAATGCGTGATGTGATGTGCCTAACAATTTTTTCACACATAATTGACTCCTTTACTCTTTTTTCTATACGTAGACCACATGTTAAAAAAAGTTTCCAAAATTACTTCTTAAAAATTTTGATGGTGACTCCAAAATATTTATATTTTTATTCAATTTTCCTTCTCAAAAAATTTCAAATAGAACGCAACACCTAATAAACTTAAAGAAAATTTTTTTTGGATTGTTATAAGACCATTTTTGTTATATAGTAATGAATATTAAACTTTAATGAGACAACAAGAGTATAAAGTTAGAGTAGTGTAAATGAGAACATTAAGATGAATGTACAGGCATACACAAAAATAAAATCTGAAATAAGCATATTTGAGAAAAAGCAAGCATAGCACCTATTAAGAAAAAATAGTAAAAAATCATTTAAAATAATTTGAATATATACAAAGAAGATTACAGGAGGCACAAACGAAGAGAGTAGAATGGATAATTTTGAGTCATGAAAGATAAAGGAAGGCAAACAAAAAAAAAAACACTTATAAAGTTATTAACCAAAACCTCTTAGTGAACAACATTCATAAAAATTTGATGAATGATAGAGCATTATGATATCATACAATATATATAGCTAATTCCACCTAACAAAATAAGGCTTATTATTGTTGTTGTGGATGGCCTTATTTTAACCAATTTAGCCAATTTTTGCCTAGATTGGCTAGACTTTGACTGGTTCTCTTAGACCAATTCTTGGGTTTAATTCAAACCAAATCATGAACCTATTCTCAATCCAACCTATTGAACCAACTGATCTTGGTCAACAACTTTGAGAAACAACAAAGGATTTGAGTAATTTTATAACTTCATGAGAATTTGTATTTATATACATATATTTTTAGATTGTTTGTGTGATTAGTTTGACATCAATTTAACTAGAGCAATTAAAATGTTATCCAAAGCAATAATAAAACTACCCTAATCCCTTTCTAATTTTAAACAAATTGATTTAGTTTGATTTCAATTGTTTGATTCTTCTCAATATTCTCAATAATGTGTAAAATCAGCATGGACATTACTTTTCTACACAACACCAATACAGTCAAAGCTTACTCTTGAGAAAATCCCTCGTTACAACAGGAAAACCCAAAAAAAAAAACAAAGAAAAAAAAATCAAGCTCAACTGTCAAGTTGAATTTACATCAACTCATTATTTCGTCATGAAGGTTGAATAGAGATTTTCTGCTTTCGGGAATCCTCATGAATTGCAAATTTTGTAAGCTATGGCCTCTTTTGGACTGCCAGCATAGGATTTCTAACACTCATACGCTTTATTTTCATCAAATAAATCTGGCAAGCCTTGATGTCATGTGCTTCGTTCATAATGCACCATATGAAATTGCAAAATGAAAACACCAACACTTTTCGGTTATGTGACCTGTTGAAAGTAAACCAGCAATCAAACTAAAAAAACAAGAAGTTCTATTTCACTAAGGTCTCTAAAAAACTAATTCTTTCGATACATCATTCACCAACATCCCGTTCAATAGCTCCTTTTGAGTGTCCTTGGCCTTCATTTACCTCTCTTCATAAGGTTAGACTTAAAAACCACAATTCAACTCTCCTCATTGGCATTTTCATCAACGTGCTTTATATATACTTAAACGGTTTCCTATAATTTTATTCTTGATAGATGCCACATCAACTTTTACTCATAAAATCATTATGAATCCCATTTTTTCCTGTATAACCCCACATATCCATCACATAACATCCCCGGTCTTAGAACACCTCAATAAAACTCCCTTTTGGTAGGTACTTTACTATCATATATTTGATAGTTTCTGCAATTTATTTGGCAAGTGAACCGGCAATCAATCTGGTATGATCATGTACACCTTTCTCATGAAGCGCTCACAAGAATACACTGTTTAATTATCAATGCATCATAATGCATTTCATTCATGATATATTATTTAGTTTGTACAAAAAACAACCGGCTTAATTAGTGGTCTAGAAGTTGAACTGGGTAACTAGGTACCTAGTGCCACCTCAATTAATCATTTGGTCAGTTTCCAATAACTATGGATTAAATTCTTTCGCCAAAAAATGCATATTTTCTGATTTAAGATTTTTTTTTTCTCTTTTGGTTTGAAGTAATTACCCAATGTCTTAAACTTTACTGTTGGAAGCTTAAAGGAACAGGTTACGCTAGGAAGTGCTTAAAATAGTTAAATAACGCTTACCATATCATTACTTGTATAACTGTTGCTTTCATTTCCAAATAATGTCTCCCAGAAATTTAAGAGCAGGAACGCCTCGTATTTCTACATCAACTAGTGGGGCCTGGATCATAACCAATCTGGAGAGTTCTGGATCGTTGTGGATCATATCAAGAGCGCGCATTTGATCCTGAAAAGATTCAGCATAAAAAGTTGTCACCTTTCAAGCTAACAATCAAATGTGTAGAGTTCTCAAACAAGCCAATCCATCTGGAGGAGGTCACTACAACACTATGCTTACGGGTTATACAGGTTAATTTGTTTCAACTTGCTCAATTGAATTGATAAAAACCATGGATTCAACCGAGTGAATCAAGTGGATCAACCCATTCAATCCATAAGAAAATGAAAATAAAGGCCGTGCAATTTAATATTCAACAATCACCATTTAATGTTTAAAGAGTTCAAGAGAGAGCGAAGAATGATTAAGGTTGGTCGATAAAGTTATTGCTTTAGCCTTTCCCTTTTTCTTTGGTTAATTTACTTGTACATAATTCCTCTTTTCACTTTTGTTTAAATAGTTCTAAGATTTTATGTATATATATTTGGCTAAAATTTACAAAACTTTTCTAAATCTTGAAGCAATTGCACAAAACCCTTCTCATCTTCAAAGTTTAAAATTAACCTCCCCAACCCTTTTTTTTTTTTTTTACTACAGACTCCCTGCTATTATATTTAATTATCTTATTAATAGAAGTTGCCATGCAATATTAAAAAAAAAAAAAACACACATAGTTGCTCATGTAACATCCAATGTAAACTAATAATAATAGGAAAAATATGGATATAATTTTTATAAGCTATTATTAGCTTACATTAAATGCTACATAAGCTGCTGTGTCTTTTCTTAGCATGACATGGAAACCTTTTTTTTTTTTTTGGGGTAATAATATGAGGAACACTTTCATTCAGAAAATAATACAAACAACACAGGAAACTCAAATAGAAACAGCAACAAACAAACAAAAAAAAAAAAAGACCCAAGCCCTACACTCACATAATGGGAGGCTAGGAGAAAAAAGTAAAATCGTTTGCAAGGATGTAAACTTGGCTAAATGGTCAGCCATCTAGTTCTCCCCTTTATAACTAAAATAAAATTTGACATCCCAATTGTAGTAAAATTTGGCATCATCTCAGCAAGTTTCTCAGCAGGCAAATGTCTTGGAACCTGAATAATTGATGAGTTGCTGAAGTTATCAGCAACTATATACAAGGCATCTCTAGTTGTATTAAGAAAGTTTACATCAAAAGAGTGGTCTTGAAGTCGGAAAATCATTTGGTGGTGAAAAGTAACTATAGTAGTGTCTAACTGCTGTTCAACTCCATGAATCTGAATCTAAACTTTTAGTCTCTTAAAACGAGTTGGATTTGTAAATTTGATATTGAAATTAAGGGCTATGGTGTGATCCACGCTCCCATTGCTAAGAGTGGTCAACATGACACCCATTAAAGTGATACTATATGTCTTGAAGGTAGAGTCTAGTAAAGCAACCCTAGCAGTGGCTGCCATACCTTTTCTTCATAAAATGTGAGAACAAGGTGGGTGGCTCCTACATAAAGATGGATATAACCCTAGGCGATCCATCCATCAATCAAGGGTTGTGCTATCTCAAGGGTGATGTATTATTCAGCTATAGTTGCCTTGATATCACACTAACCAAGATTAGAGGTTGGATGATTTCATTTGGCTGGGCATGGTGGGGTATTGATTAGAGATTTGATTCCACATGTAAAAACGTTTACTCTATCATATAGTTTATAGGGATTACGAAAAGGAAGTTCTGTGGTTGGAACACAAGCATTTTCTAGAATAACAAAGTACTCAAGAAGATTTTCTATTTTCTCAGAGAGTACTCATTTTATAGAAGATGGTAAACAATCAAAGGAAAATGTTGAAGAAAGATTAATAGGTTCAAGGGAAGTAGAGCTTTATGCGTTACCACTCACGATTTCTAAATTCTCCTTACTTTTCATCAATAACATCACACTTTTGTCAAGAAGATAGCTCTAATACTACGGGGGTGAGACTCATACGCGCACCTAGTCCTAGAGATCCATGTGCCTCAATGTCTCAGGTATATTGATTTAAGTAAGCCCCTCCATGCCTCTCCTGGGCAAACTCCAACCACTTTAGGATCTTTAACCCTTCAACACCTTGACTCATGAATCTTTAAGCATAGTGACATGGGCTTACATACATAAACTGTCAGTCAAATTCATTCTAGTGCACAGGAACCTCATAGAGAGACAAATGCAAAGCATACTTGAATCTTGGTATGACAGAAGCAAGATATCGGAGAATCAAGCTTTTAGGAGAAAGAAGAGAGTTTAAGAGACATGTTTGAGAAAACATATGGAATTTTTATTGCTTAACAAGCTCTATCTTACAAATTAGTTGAAGCCTCCTAATATATACAAGAGGTGGAGGATCAAGACATCTTCTAATATGATTACAAGAGGACAAACCAATATCACATGTATACCTACTTTAACAATGTTGATAGAAAGCAAAAGTACAAGTAATATGACACAACTAAAACTAACAACTTTGTTCAAAAGTAGCTTTTGACAAAGTTTATTACAAGAAACACTGATCTTGACCAAAAATAACATAATTAAAGTAGCTTTTGACAAACTAACTAAAGTAGGTGACAAATCATCTCAAGATTGATCATATGACAGGTTAAGCCACTATTTTTCTTGCTTTCAATGGCACTCGGTAAGGAGATCTCAATGAGAATCTTACCTTTATCAATGCCCTCATCCATAAGATAAGAGTCCAAGGTAGGTGTGTCTTGTAGTTTCGGAAATAGCTAGAAGGTTTGGGAATCTATCTAATAAGGGTCTTGGTTGTCTAATAGAAGTAATGGAGGAAGAAAAAAAAAAAAGAAGGTTGGTGATTGACTACAAACCTCTCAATGCTTTTTTTCAAGATGACAAATTTCCTCTACCAAATACGAATACTCAATTGGTCCATCTCAAGAGGGCCAAAATACTTTCTAAGTTTGACCTTAGAGTAGGATTTTGGCAACTGAGTATAAATCCTATAGACAAACACAATACGACCTTCTATATTCCAAATGCCCAATATCAGTGGACAATAATGCACTTTAGACTTAAAGCTGCCCCTTCACTATTTCAAAAGGCTATGATTCAAATTTTTGAGCCCATCATTAATAATGCCTTGCTACACATTGATGATATCCTACTATTCTCAGAAATTGAACAGGAGCACAAACTTGGTGAAAAATTCTATAAGATAATTCAATAGTACAGGATTATGCTTTTAGCCCGTAAGGGACACATTGGTGCAACACAAATAAAATTTTTGGGAATGCTCATACAGGATGGATAGTATCGACCCAATTCACACAACTGAGAAGTTGCTCAATTTTCTTGATGCAAACTTATCCAAAACTCAAATTCAACAGTTTTTGGATATAGTTAATTACATTAGACTTTATTCCTCAAGTATCATATCATACTAGTCAATTGTCCAAACTACTGTGAAAAAATCCACCACCTTGAGGTTCCAACCAGACAATGGCCATTTAGCATCTAAAAAAAATTGTCAGTATCCTTCTCCACTTAGAATTCTTGACGAAGGACAACGTATTCAGCAAACTGATGCAAGCGATGACTACTAGGGACCGTTACTTATTGAAGAAAAAATAGGAAAAAAACACTATTATGGTCACGCTAGTGGTGAATTGAAAGACTTTGAAAAGCATTATCACATAACCTACAAGAAGTCCTAGCATTGAAAGGTGGCATTGAAAAATTCAAATTTCATCTCAGCTCCTACCACTATATAGTAGAAATGGACAATACATCATTCCCAAAGATTCTTGATCAAAACAGGAAAATTCTCCTTGAAGTTCAACTCCTTTGATAGAAAAATTAGTTTGCACACTATAAATTCACAATTTGATACATTAGGAAAACCACAATACCATTACAGATTACCTTACCAAGCCACAAAAGAAGATCAATCTCATCACTCCTCCACAAAACCAAACCCTCTTCATTCTTAACATCATGCCTACCAAGTTAGTTTTTCGCCTAGCCATAATCCAATCACTATCTTTGAAATTCAAAAATTAACCAAAAGAAGCTTAGTCTACTGGCTCTACCTCCTACTCCAACAAGCCCATATCCAACCTCATCTTAAATATTTTAATATTCAAGCTCTTTATCTTACCATTCCTTTTATTAGAGGACATATTTCAGATGCGCTTATGTAGTACATTTGGTCCTTATCCCCTCTTTACATCAGTGTTTTAACTCTTCCTCCACTAGAAATGTTCCATTACCTGCACGATTCAGCTCATGCAAACTCAAACCTTTGGAAACTCCTTGAATGGTTTGCACCAATTTCCAAATGGCATAGTGAACTCTCTCAAGTAGTTGAAAAAGAGTTATTATAGAAGGTTCCATTGCATGAACAAAAGGCTTACTCCTCTTTTGTGGTACATCATCATTACCATCTTGATAGCAAAGGAAAGCTTTACATAGCCAACCAAGCCTACTTATGGAAAACTATCACCAGTTAGAAAGCACACGAAAATTTCACCTCAATTGAATTAAAAGAATTTTTATGTGAAATGAACGGTTATCTAGTTCCTAATCCTAATCTCAGATGCACCTTGCTTGGTCCTTTTCCCATCAGCCTATCCTTCCTAGTGATCTGTCACCAACTGTTCCATATGAATTCCCAAAAGGGCTCACAAGTTTTATTGTCCAACAAAGATATGCAACATGGATGGAATCCTGTGATAGAACATCAACATTCGCCCTCCACCAAAGCCCTTATTAGATAGAATCCCAGGCCTTTCAGCTATTTCCTGAGCTACAAGACACACCTACCCCTGAACTCAGCCTATGGATGAGGACATTGATGAGGATAAGATTTTCACTGAGATCTCCTCTGCTAAGTGGCGCCGAAAGCAGGAAAAACAATGACTTAACCTGTCATATGATTGGGAGTGTATTCACAAAAGTCTGAGATGATTTGTCACCCACGTTAACCAGTTTGTCAAAAGCTACTTTAATTATGTTATCTTTTGTCAAGATCAATGTTGCCCATAATAAACTTTGTCAAAAGCTACTTTTGACTTTTGAACAAAGTTGTTGGCTTTAATCATATCACATTACTTTTGCTTTTGCTTTTTGTCAAGTGTGCCTAAAATAAGTATGCATGTGATATTGGTCTGTCATCTTGTAATCACATTAGAAGATGTCATTATCCTCCTCCCCTTGTCTATATAAGGAGGCTTCGGCTAGTTTGTAAGATAGAACTTATTAAGTAATAAAAATTCCGTGCTCCCTAAACTCTCTTTTCTCTTGAAAGCTTGATTCTCCAATCTTTTACTTCTGTCATACCAAGATTCAAGTATGTTTTGCACTTACCTCTCTATAAGGTTCTCCTATGCACCACAACAAATCTGACGAACAGTTCATGTGTGTGAGCCCATATCACTATGCTTAAAAATCGTGGGTCAAGATGTTGAAGGGATGAGGATCTAAAAGTGGCCAGAGTTTGCCTAGGATATGCATGGACGAAGGGGCCTTACATAGATTAATATACCCTGAGACATTGAGTCACATGGATCTCTGAGACTAAGCACACATGAATCCCACCCTCATGGTATCAGAGCCACCTTCTTGACAAAAGTGTGATATTGATGAAAAGTGAGTAAGGAAAATCTAGAAATCATGAGTGACAGAAAGCTCTACTTCCCTTGAACCCGTTAATCTTCAATCTTTTCCTTTGATCGTTTACCATGTTCTCCAAAATGAATATTCTTTGAAAAAATAAAAAATCTTATTGAGCATTCTATTGTTCCAAAAAATGCTCATGTTCTAGCCACAAAATTTTCTTTTCGTAATCCCTATAAGTCTATCATAGAGGAAACGCTTTTACATGTGGAATCAGATCTCTAATCCACACCTACCATCTTCAACCAAGAGAAATCATCCAAAGCTCTAATCTTGGTCAGTGTAGTATCAAGGCAACTACATCTGAATGATACATTACCCTTGAGTTAGCACAGTCCTTGATTGATTGATGGATTGCCTAGAGTTATACCCATCTTCACATAGGAGCCATCTGCCTTGTTCTCACCTTTCATGGAAGAAAAGGTATGGCAACCACTACTAGGGTTGTTTTACTAGACTCTGCCTTCAAGTCATATGACAACATTTTAATCAGTGCCATGTTGGCCACTCTCAGCAACGAGAGCATGGTTCTAACTATAGCGCCTGATTTCAATATCAAGCTTACAGATCTAACTCTTTCTAAGAGATCTAGATCCATAGAACTGAACAACAGTCAGACGCTACTATGGCTACCTTACACCACCAAATGATTTTCCAACTTCAGGACCACTCCTTTAAGGTCAACTTTCCTAATGTAACCGGAGATGCCTTGTTTATAGTTGTTGATAACCCCAACAAGTCATCAATCATTTAGATCCCAAGACATCTGCCTACTAAGGAACTTGCTAAGATAATGCCTCTACAATAGATCAACAATTATGAAAAACATTTCCATGATATTCAAAAATATGTACACACAATAAAACCCCCCGAACTCTACAGACTTTAGAATGATTCTGTTAAATTTGTTTTTAAGAAACCTGTAACTGAAGATCCAAATTTGATCTTTGGAAGGATCCTATCCATAACCCCAGCCTTCATTGAACATAAGGATGATCCCCCAATTGAGTGGTTTACAGCAAATGCCAAGCCAGTTTATGTCTCTCACATCAATGGTCATTTTATCTAGGATTATGCCCCAAAAATATGTGATCCAGATTGTGATTGCTACCTCTGGAATGATTCAGATGACGATGATTATAGCTCCAGAATAACTAGGAAGCCTATACGACCTAGATTTCCATGCAAACATAAACCATCTCCAAAGGAAGATGATGATGATCATGGCCCTAAACAAAATGCAAGAAGAAAACAGATAAGACTTCCAAATCCTCCCACTGAAAATAATACTCTTTTTGAACTCCTCAAGGAAATTTATCATCTTGAAGAAAAGCATCGAGAGACTTGTAGTCAATCACCAACCTCTTTTATTTTTTGTTTTTCATATCTTTTTTCAATGTAGAAAGCTTGGCATGCCCAATCTGACTTGATTGGTTTAATAAGACCTTGCTTGAGCAAAGATGTACATTCTTCTCAAGCCAGTGCAAGATCTTTTGGATTCATCCCAGGATGAGATGCTTTAGTAGGATTGACATCTTTATTTTTCTTGAAAGGAAGTTTAATGAAAAATTCCCTATTTTTCCGCAAGGAAGATGGATGCTGAAATTAATCATGACTTTCACAACAGAATTGATCTCTAATCAATTCATACCCTAGAAAAGCATTTTAAATTTCCATAATACTTGAAATATCAGTGTATTCCTGTAAGAACTGTTTGAATCATATCCCTTTAGGGAGTATCTGTAGGTTATTGGTTTGATGGTACATATCAAAACCTACAAGGACATCCTTTGCTGGAAGGTTGCTTCCAAGAATCTTTATCCATATAGTAGGCCTAGAGCTAAAGGCATAAGTTGTAAGTACAATAAGTATTTCTTCCATGATTCCTGACTCATCATCAGGAGGATCTTCTACAACTATCTCTATATGAGTTTCATGTTGAGTCTGTGTTTGAAGAGGAGGTTGAAGTTGGACTATCACAATCTTTGATAAATCAACCAAATGTTGTTCTTCCAAATTTGTATATGTTGTAGAGGTCTCATAAGACGTAGTTGATTATTGATCTGAATAAACCTAATCGTACACAACTTTCTTGATAGAAGCAATTGTTCTTGAAGGGTTTGAGGGATCTTCAATCGCTGAGTTTATTAGTGGTTGATAGTGGCTTAGGCTTTGGTGGTGATGGTGGAGGTGTTTTAATGGTCAAGGGTTTTTCCAATATTTTGGTGAAAGACGGCAAGGCCTAGTAATCCTAAGGTTTAGTGTGAGAGCCTTTGATGGAAAGATGGTTTTTGTGAGTAAGATACTGGTGGCTTTGGTTTAGGAGTTGGCTTTTTCTGAGTTTTTCTGAGGACAGGATAATTCATCTCGACGACTTTACTATAATCAATCTCAAATGAATAGGTCGGATGTATTGAGGTATAAGTAGGGAACTGTCTAGATATGGTAGGATAACTTGGATAGGACTCAGAGATAGTCTTAGATTGGTCTTGGGCTAAATCTGCTTCTATTTGCTGCAATTGTTTTTTTACTTCAAAAATTTATTTTTCTTTTCTAAAGTATTCAGGTCCAAAGTATCCTACTTTGATAAATCTGTAAAGTTCTACATCCAACTTCTGGTCTTGTTTGCAGAATATTTGATATAGATCCTTCATCCGATCATCTATCTAATTAACCTGCAAAGATAAGTTTCCAATTGTTGTTGTTAAGTGATCAAGCTTTGAATCTATCCTGTGTAAGACTCTGTTTTGGCTGACAGTATTTTGAGACTGCCAGTTTAGAACTTCTACAGGTGAGACTAGTTTTAAAGTGCCTTGACGAGTTACTTCTGTTTGTGAGACAAAAAGCCTAGTAGCAACCTTTGTCCTGTCGTCTATTTTTCACTCAAGAGGAAGAAATTCTTCTTCATAGGGCTTCATCATTGTAATACAAGATAAAGCTTGTACTTGTGCAGGTAGGAGTGTTAGAATCACAGATTGTGGGAGTGGTGCAATCACTGGTTCTGCTTTCTCTCACATCCCAATTTCTACTAACTAATTTCCTAGTAGACTCAATTATATTATTGTAAGGATGATAACTATAATTATCCCTTGTAATTATCAATATTGCGTTCACACAATTACAAAGGTTAGGAAGGTCACTTTTAAACTTTTAAAGATAAGGAGGTTATGTGCAATTGCCTCAAAATTTAGGGGAGTTTTGTACATGTTACCCTATATATTTTAACTTATAATAAAAACATATATATATATATAAATGAGTCAATAATATATATATATATATAAATGAGTCAAAACATGAGCCAAACTGTATTACCTTGTTGATGCAGCGAGTCAGTCAGTCAAGTGAACTGGGTTAAAAAGGATTATACTAAATGTTTTCCTAGTGATCGGTCATTGTAGCCTAAGTAGCCAGTAGGTCATAGTACCTTTCTTTTCATAGCACAAAATTTGCAATCAGATGCCGATGGTGGTAGAATCTGATTAACAATAAGCCTCTTCACAGGAACACTTTCCTTCGTCAAGGATGAACTCAATCTAGATGACTCACTGACCGCCATCACCTTTGGGAGAAAAAGCATACAGATATAAGTGAATATTTACAAGAAACAAACATTTTCTATTGCAATTAGTTGTGACACTTTTAAGAACTGAGGGAAAAAAAAGGGAACTTCTGTTGTGAATAAAAAATCTATTAGGTAGATATGAGCAAGGATCTACTCAAACTTCTGAAAGGAGAGGCTCCTGAATACAATGAACTCTAACTCAAGCATACCCTACCTAAGACTTCCTCACTTATTTATAAAGGGAAATAAACGATTATTGAATGAATAAATCAACAGCTAAATCTACTATTAAATCAATTAAATCAGAATACCTAAATAAAACAGCAACCAAATCAATATTCACTCAATCTAAGATATCATAATCTCCTCATTAGCTGTTGGAATATTCTCCCCCTTAAGCTTTGTGTCTTGAGTACGTCAATAATGGCCTCTTAACAAACACAGTGAATAAGAAGGAAAAAAACACATTACATGAATAACAAGAAATTTCAGCAGCAAGTTATCCTCAAAATTGATTTTTGAATAATCTTATATTTAGCTGTCTTCACAATGAAATTACTTACATTTTATACAGCATAGGGCCATAATAAATCATTATCAAGAAAAAAGAAGGACCGCGCTAAGGAACACCTGTGAATGCTTTTTCCCTAAATACTAGAGACCATTTGATATATGGAATGGAATGGAAAATAAAAGTTCAAAAATGTCAGTTTTATCCCTTATTAATAAGATGATAATAGAATAGGGACATATATTGTTAATTAACTAAACACATTTGCCTGTGTATTGCTTATATATTGTTAATCTTTCATAACTTCTAAATACTGAGGCTTGCTGTAGAGTTTATATATATATATATAAATTGATATATATGTGATAACGAGGATATATATATATATATATATAACATATCTCGTTTTTTCTGCAATAAATGAATCTTTTTCCATAGTTGTAACCAAACAACATCTAAGTGATAAAGTTACAATGACCTATGTTTTTGTGCCTCAAATGGTAAGATGGTGACACTACATCGTAAGGTCATTGACTATTATATGCAGCAATTGTCAAGGATCACTCAATTATGAGACATACTTTTAGTATCCATACCGTGGGGATCGTTACAATGACAAACTCTGTCAAATCAGTGTCCCGAAAGAGCTCACGCACTTTTATCATCCTCTCTCTAAGCTTCTCCAATTTGTCAGCCTGCACAATGACGATATAACAAAATGTCAACATGTTAAGGTGAAACTAAATGGTGCATCAGTCCCACAGGATTAGGCTTACAGCATCCTGTTGAGTTGCCACTTGCCCAAACACAGATTTGATTGCTGAGGTAGCAGAAGCTATCTTTTGTCTAAGCTGCAGTAGAAATAAGAGCGTGTCTGAAGGACTATAGAACCAATCAAGGAATGCAAATATAGTATGTGGGGAGGGACAGAAAAAGAGAAATGACTTTGTATTAAGGACATATGAGTAACAAGTCAAATTTCAGGGACCTATCAATAATTAATTTCCTTGTCTGAGACTTATCGATAATTTTCCCTAAAATCATTTTAGGGCTGTCTCTTAGAAACTTCAGTTTGTGGGATGAATCAATTTATTTGATAGCAAATCTATGATCAAGTGATCAGCATGAGTTTGATCTTCGACACCCCAATTTTTTTGTAATCAAAATATTGCTGCACGAGTAAAATAGCCCAATACCTTGTCCATACTCTAAAGCCAGGGGGATAAGGAGTGTAAAGACTAAAGAGATTATGAAAACTAGTCTTACGCCTTCTCTTCTAACAATTGAAGCTGTTTTCTTTAAGGTCCAATAACTAGGTTCTTGGCCAAAACTAAGAAACAGTGAAATATATAGACATAGGACTGTGGGCAAGTATAGAAGAAACACCTCCGAATTCAGAAGAAAATCACTGTGTACCAAATGGCTTACATATGTCACAAATAATGTTGACATAAACAGATTTGCAGGGTAAGATTGGGTGTGAAATTTATATCCAATGATTGAAAATATGGCAACTTTTCATTTATCGCAATAAGCATTCTTACCTTTAATATCTTCCCTATGGAGGCATCCAAGAAATCAGGCAAGGACAGCAGTCGTAATGTATGTCCCTGTTGAGGTAATTAGATTCTACTAGATTATCACCAAAACAAAAACAAAAAAAACATAAAAAAAAAACAAATTAATAAATTGAGCAATAAATCAAACTAAGCATTTTCCTTACTGTAGGTGCAGTATCAAATACTATTCGAGTAAACATGCTATATTCCTCTGATTCAAGAAATTGCATCACCTGACAAGACACCCTTAATTGTTAGGTTTCCATCAAGAAAGGACATATTAATGAATTACAAATCACAAGAATGAAATAATCATAGCTCAAAGAATTACAGGCCTTAGAGATTGCAATAGCTTCATCCAGTCCAGGAGGAGGTGTATCCAGTAACTCTCCCAGTTTAAGTTCTCCCAACTTTTGCAATCAAAAGATGTAAAAACAATTAGATATTATGACAAGATTACCCATAGCCTTCAAAGCTAAACTTTTTGAATTTGAAGTAGTTCTTGACATAATATTTGAAAGCCCTATGACTAAATGGTCTGAGTTTGATGCTAGTTATCCTATTCTTCACAATAAAATGAAACTTCATAAGACCGTTCAAAGTGATTTTGCGAGACAAGTCAGAAATTATGATAAGACTGTTCACGTGCCTTAATAGCTTAAACTTTTAAGCAAAAATGGTTCTTGAGAGAAGCCACTCTAAGAGAAGCAGAACTATAATGAAGTTGAAGGGCAGAACCAATCATCTTCAAGTATTATCTTGTCTATTTGCTTCAGTTGCCTCTCATCTACTTATTTCTCTTTGTTTTTTTTTTTTTGGGGGGGGGTCAAAATGAATCACTTTTATTAAACTCTGTTAAAAGAAGCACCACAGACCCCATCGATGAACACGGACCTGGTTGCATTATGCTTCAAATACAGCCGAACTTAAAGATACTGACATTGTTAAGCATTACATAATTATTTCTTTTGTATTCAGTATGAAGAAAAAAGTTCACGAAATAGGCATTAAAAATCCCTTCGATGAACGCATACCTCCTTACATTATGCTTCCAAATACAACCAAACCTAAAAAAGATACTGACATTGTTAAGCATTACATATCCATTTCTTTTGTACTCCGTATGAAGAAAAATTTCAAGCAACATTAAAGATGTTTTTCTTTAAAAAAAAAAAAAAATACAACCTTAAATTCACATATAATACAGTTGATCTGATTGTGTGCTACATGTAAATATGCTCTAAATATGAAACAATGTCAAACATCTAGCTAAATATGAAGCTGTGATTATCTTTTGAACTGGTTCGAAGCATGGGTAAACAAGCTACCTGTTCTACAATCATTCCAAGACCCATACCATCCATGAAGTCTTTAACACCACTTCCGCCATTTTTTTGAGTTGCATTTCGGAATTCTTCCCTAGCCTTCTCAGGGTTTATCTGTTATGAAACTACATGTCTAAATAAGCACATAGGAGATTTAGGGGTAAACAGGCACATCCATATGAAAATAACAATCATGTCATCAAGCAAGTAAAATGATAATGAAGCTCATTGGGGAGAAAAAAATCAGAAAATTATCCAACACTCTAGTCAGCTTACTTCAAGAGCAAAAAGTGGATAATCAGGTCCTTCCACTGGAACCAATGTTCCCCCGGTCAAATCCTAAGGTAGAATCGGGAAAAGATGAGTTAGACACAGAAACACACACTTAACTGATTCAAACAAGAAGCAGGTAGCTCAAAATACATAAGAATCACTAAAAGACAAGTAATTACCTGGGCAAAAGAATCACTCAGGGAATGTGCCGGATCAGTTGAAACCACAAGAGTGGGATGCCCATTATTAGCAAATTTAACAGCAAGTGAAGCTGCGCAGCTTGTCTTTCCTACACCTCCTTTTCCTCCTAGCATGTAATACTTCCTCCGAGTACTGGAAATCATTTCATCAAACCCTGATACGGCTTCTTCAGAAGCAGCCACTGAACTCACTAACCCGGCAGAAAAGAAAAATAAGCAAACAAACAAACAAACACCAAAGGAAAAACAAATTGTTTTAATAGTTCTGGCAGATATCCCATTTGAATAACCAGCAACATAGACAGGGTATGAATTGCCTGAGAATAGCAATATTCTTGCTGATAATCACGTGTAGAAATAATCACAAGCACGTCATGTCACTCGTAAATGAAAAGCAGAATTATACGGTCCAAAACTCCAAAGAAAGGATAGGACAGCTTAATTAGCTTCACCAGTTGAAGTAGAAACTAAAAGACAAACATAATTAGATGTAAATAATTGTTTACTCTAATGTGGCCGGGAAAAAACACTGATGAATTTAGGATTTCATTTAAGACAATTAACGAAGCACATGTTACGTACACCAGGGGGACGAAATTCCTAACCAAGTCCACAAATTTTACTCATGAGATTAAGAGCTACTAATACAATTTAAGCACCATGCTTTCTTACAAAGACGATAAGAACATCACTTTTCTACATGGATTAAAACGACCAACCCAACAATGGAAGAAAAGAAGTCTGGGTGGGGATCTTTAATTAAAAACACCAGAAGCTAAATGGATTTCTCGTAAAGGAGAAATGACAACAGAATGAAGAAAACCACAAGAAACACCGCGACGATATAGTTTACAACAAATATCAATTTAAAGATAAGAAATTAAAAACCTTGGAGTGATTTTCGTAGGGGTTCGCTGGCGGTAGAAAAAGATGAAGCGGTGAACCCTTTGGCGAGACGAAGGGGTTTAGGCGTCAATTTGGTTGGCGCATAGCAAAAGAAGATAGACGTTGCCATATAATTTATGGGAATAGAAGTAGAAATGGCGGAGACAACAGAGTTAGCAGCCATGACTTGTTTCTAATAGCTCAAGTTGCCGCAAGCATTGAAGAGAGTCAATGAGAGAGATGACACGGTAGCAGAGGAGAGATGGCTAAGGCGCTCGAACACGGCTGGTGGATGAGCTTGTGGATATGAGGGACTTCTAAAGGGCTGGCCAGAGGTAAGCGGGAGAACAGAGCGTGGCCCACCGGCGTCGACTCTGGCAATGCCTCCACCAACGCTGGATCAGTGGCGGTGCGGCAGCGGTCGTTGACGAAGAGATAAGTTGACGATACTTGTGCTAGTGGGTAAGAGAAAAAGAGGAGCAGCCTGCCGTGTAAGCGTCCACAATGAGATAAAAATTGGGGAAAATTCTCATGCCCCGTTTGCGTTTGGTACGCTGAAATTAGAAATTAAGATGGAAATAAAAAATAGTTAGGAAATCACGTCCGTGCCAAAACAAGTTTAATTTAAAATAAAAGAAAAAATTCATATTATCATTTAAATAATAATCCTTTTTTCATACAAGAATACAGAAAAGTCATGTAAAGAAGACCAAGGTTTAATTATATCTAAAGCCATGAGGCTTATATAATCAGGGGCAGGTTGTCAAAAATAGAAATATTGAAATCTCTGTACAGTGTCTTGTGGGTTAGAAAATTAGTGCATTTTGTTAGCTTCCCTGTAAACATGATTAAAGGTAACCTCCCAATCTCTCATGATTAGCTCTTTGATATTTTTGATAATCACAGAGAGTGGATGGCTCGCAATAATTGTTGTTAATGAGCGGTAAAGTTTTTAGTGTGTTAGAGTAGACATTGATTTTGATTTTTGACAAGATCCTCATTCCAACAAAGATTAAGTTCTTTTGAAATTCCTAGGAGCTCAGCTGCTGTGTTTGGATAATAACCAAGATTTTTAGAGAATCCCTTAATATAATTTCTCTTGTTATCTTTGATAATAGCACCATAGGCAGTAATACCATTATTAGTAATAGAGCTATCGACATCAAGTCTAACCCAACCAAATTCAAGAGGATTCCATTTAGCTTCATATTTGTTGTTATTCTTGCTCAATTGGTTGATCTTGGATTGTAACTTTGTGTCACTTATTATCTGTTACATGCTGGAGAAGGTAATGTCACTTTCAAGAAAGTCATCTTCAAAGTAAATCTTCCTGCATTTGGTTTTCCATATATTCCAACATGTTTGGGCCAAAAATCTCTGCTAGGGGATTCTTCTAGTAATTCAACTACCTATATCATTCTTAGCATTCCAGCTTATTCAATCCTACACATCACATGAGAAAAAGCTATTAAGTTTTGTAGGGTTTACTAGTCTTTTCCATACCTCTTAGGCTTCCTTACAATCACACAAAATATGAATAAAGGAATCAGTAGAGTTATAACCCAAGGGGCATGTACACTGCTAAGGAGTATTCACATTAGTACACATATAGTTGTCTAGAGATGATCCCAAGCAGCCTTCTAAATCTTGGACCAGATATTAGAGCAATTTTGACCTTTTCAGATCTCCAAAGCTTTATAGGTAGATTTGACAGAGAAGTTGCCGTCAGAGGAAGCTCTCTAAATAAAAACATATTCATCACCTTATTGGTTAGGAGGTCAAACAAGTGTAATCTATCTAATGACCTCAGGATGAAGGTAGTGTTTCAAAACATCAAAATTCCAATCTCTTACGGTATTGCTGAAGTCTGAGACTCATGCATGAAGAATAGAGTCAGAGTTTTGGGAGGCATATCTGACAAGAGGATCAGGGAGGGAGGATCATTTATCATACCAAAATGATATTTGGTCACCTTTGCCCACTTTCCAACCTATATGGAATGTGAACTTATCCCAAACTTTGCATATGCTACTCTAGGTAAAAGAACAAGAGTTAGGTTTAAAAACCATTAGAATTACAGGTTTATTAGGTTTATATTTGTCGCATAAGACTCATACCCAAAGACAATTCAGTTTAGTGATGAGGGCCCAAAAAATTTTCATGATGAAGGCAAAATTCTGCCGGTTGAGTTTCTTGATGCCAAGGCCCTATCTTTTTTGTCAAAAGTGATGTAATCTCAAGAGAGAAGATAAGGTTTTTTTATTCTTGTCTATAGAATCCCAGAGAATGTTTCTAGATATTTTATCTAATTCAACCAAAATATTTTCGAGTAAGAGCATAGTTTACATAATATGGCTAGGAAGATCTGAGAGAACGGATTTAATGAGCACAGATTTCCTTGTGATATTAAGATGATGGCTTCTCCAACTAGCCAAGTTTGAATTTTCCTTATCAAGAAGAGGAGCAAAGGTAAGCTTAGAAGCTTTTGCATGTATTAGTAGGATTTTGAGATATTTCCCAAGATTTCATGAAAGGGGAATTCTAAGCTCCTCACTAATTTGAGAAGCACGATTGATATTGACATTCCTAGAATAGAATAGTTTATATTTATCATTATTGATTCTCTATCCAAAGGCACAGCAAAAGTTCGAAAGGCATTGTTGGACGATTATTACTTAAGTTAAGGATGACTCTGCAAAAGGTAAAAGATCATCAACAAAACATAAGTGAGATATGAGAGGCCTATTAGGAGTCAACCTAAATGGCTTCCAATCATTTTTTTCAATACTAGTGAGAATGCAATGGCTTAAGCATTCAATACAAAGAACAAAGAGGTAAGAAGAAAAAGGGTCCCCTTGATGAATGCCTCTGGAAGGTTTGAATTCTATAAACAGCTCTCCATTCTAAAGTACTCTCATCCTTGTAGTAGAGATGGCGGCATGAATTAATTTCCTAAGATGGCTATTTATTCCAAGTAATTTAAGAGTACGAGTCCAGGATAGTCTATTGAAAGCCTTTTCAAGGTCAATTTTCAGAGCTATAAATCCCTTTTTTCCGGTTCTTTTCCTCATAGAATGAATGATCTCTTAAACAATAATGATATTATCACTACTTTACCTGCCTTGAATGGAGCTTCATTAATTATTACTAATAAGATGATTCATACAAGCACGTTGACTATTAGAGATAATTTTGGTGATAATCTTGTAGCTCACATTACAAGATGTAGGACAAAAATCTTTCATGCAATTTGGGTGATCAATCTTAAGGATTAAGATAATAAATATTTTGTTAATCTTTCCAATAGAATCGAGATCTCTAAAAAACCTTTTTGGTAAGATTTATGATGTTATACTTTAAATCTTCCTAGTACGAGTAAATGAAACCCACATTGATGCCATCCGGACTAAGGCTTTGAAAGCCCTGATGTCAAAAGCTATATTCTTAGTTTCATCTATTTTATAATAATCTATTTTACATTAGTCCTTATTCATATATAATTGCCTTCTCAAGAACTTGGATGTGATTCTTGCAAAATAATTTATTAGATATAATAGATTTTAGTTTCATTAAAATTGATAGAATTGATTTCTACGCTATAGAACATTGAATAAGCTCCTTGAAATTGTTATTTTGGGATAATTATATCCTCAATTATCTTATGTATGGACAATTTTGCCCCTTTAGCACTTATTCACCATTTCTCCCCTCACACCCAATAGCATTTCCCTTGGCAATCCGCTAATGACAATTAGCCTTGAGAATTAGGACCAAGCCAAATAACCAAAAAATATTTGAGTTAGGTTTTTTAAAGGTTGGCCATAAGCCCAAATATTTTTTATCTTTTAAAATGTAAACACCTAAAACACATTATAATTCAAAAAAAAAATTTCATACAAGATAAAATCCAAAAAATAAACTTAAAATAAGATCAATCTACAATCACAACAAACTAATAACAACTCTTAATAATACAATTAACACAATAAAAATTAGATATTTGTAGCAACATCAGCAACATCATTATTAAGATTATCATTATCATTATCATTATCATTATCATTATCATTATCATCATCATCTTCAACATTAATATAATTTGATGCTTCTCCTTGTGGTGGTGCCTCAATAACAAAGATATTAAGCTTTTCATATCTTCTCTTATCATCCTTCCTTTTTAATAGGATTAAAGGGCAAAAATGTCTTATAAGTTTTTCTCAAGGGGCAGTTGGTATCCTATGTAACATTCCAACATTTAAAATAAGATTAATTGAAGTTTACAGGAGTTAATTATAGTTATGGCCATTTGGGTCCTATATAGAGTTTAGAATGGGACCTAAGGAGCTATTAGGTCATCTTGGGCCCAAATTAATGGGCTAAAATAAAGTTTTTCATTATGTGTCATCTGCCGCAATGAACATGTTCTATTTTAAAATTTTAGAGTCATGTTTTTCAGTCAAAAGCAGAGAGGAAACAAAGAGTGAGTAAGGGGATAAAGGGTGCTTTGCTAGAGTGAGGCAACAATTGGAGGCTATTTTTGGCTACCAAATCATTAGTAAACTTCCTCTTCTCTTCTCTTCTCCTTCCTTCTTCATGTGTTTTTTGTAATATCTACCTTGACATTACCATGAATCACCATACTTAGCACACAAAAGTATTTAGGAGTATTTAAAACCCCTAAATTACTATAATTTGAAATCCTAGAAATATAGAAAATAATTCTTTAAAAATAGTTATTATCCTACCACCATAGAAAGTATATTTGTAACCTTAATATATATAAATATATATGTATACAAATAGAAGCATATAGGAATGCACAAATACAACACGATAGAAACAAGAGTAAAGAGTCATTTTTGCCCAACTAGACACATGTTGTGGCATATGACATAGAGGAATTTTTCCTTATTCTATGCCATGCTGTCATGGCACATGACAAAGAATGCTATCATGATCGTTCATTTAAAAAGAACTTTCCATGTGCATCATTTCCATATATAAGGCCAATTGAAGTTATTCAAGCGCTCACATATAGCTTATTTCATAATTTAATTAATGACACAAGTTTTACCTAAATCTGATATTTCATTTGAAAATTAGACACATAGATGCAAAATGACTATTTGTTGTCATTTTTCCATATCTGAACGTCTCAAATCACAATCTTGTGGTCTTAAATCATAATCTTATATCAGTAGCCACCATTAAGGGCTTGATCACATCCAATGAAATATTATTCATCTGATTGAGTGGTTATAATAGCAATCATATATGCACATGATGAATTGGTCATCCAAATGCCTTGATTTACATCAAAATAAGGCTTTTTGCATATACACACACATAATCATTTGCTAGCCAATTTCACACATTACAAGCATTCCAAAACACATAATATTGCGCTTGTACTAGTATATCAACCCTCACTATTACATTACACACATTTTCACGCCTTAGGGCTAAGATACCTATACATACAATCATACAAGTGTAACCAAACAGGTTAATGCATTCCTGTGACAATTT